CTTGACTTACGAGTTTAATTCGTTCTGAGACCGAGCTCGTTAAGGAGCTCTTTAACTCAAATTACTCTGTCAACTCAATGCAAAAAATTGGCCAAGAGACGGCTGGTATCTCAAAAAACTCGTTAGTGGGACACTCGTAAATCAAGGCCCCACTGTAATCTGGCCACTCAGTGTATATGCTGAGTCTTGTGGGGGAAGAAGGCCTGGGGACCAGGGCCTGGGCTCACCCCACCCTGGCTGTGCCTGCAATTGGCTGGGAGGCTAGGGAGCTCCAAGATGTTTTCTACTGTCCTGCCTCCTCCCACAGACATATTTCTTCTTCAGTCTTGGAAGCAACTCAGCAAGGCAGGTTCCATCCATGTCACTTGACAGATGGGAAAATGGAGGCTCGATCAGAGCACAGCTTTGCCTTGCCCAAGAGCATTTGGCTAGTGAGTGAAGAACTGGGATTGGAACCCAAGCCTCCAGAGGGTATTCATCATGTAAAGGGGGACCCCCCCCGCCCGCCCCGTTTAACACTTGCTGGCTCTGTCCACCCAAACATACAGCTGCCCAGTTAGAAGCTGAACTTACCGCCAACCAGGGCCTGTGTTTCCCCCTCAAGGTCAACAGTATCAGGGTCAATGTGAAGCTTACCCTTAATTCACGACTCCCTAGCTTTGTCCATTTAAGTGAAAACTTTGATGCTATTTCAACCCAAATCCCCCGTGGACTTCAATGGGAGCTTTGAATCCATGAAGAACATCACACAGCGCTTTTGGAGGTAGCACAGGCACCCAATGGAAATCACATTAGCATACTCATTATCATCAGGCCCTTTGAATGTGTTTTCCGGCTGTTCCTTTAAAGTGATTCTGTGCCAATGGGTCCTTTTGGTTCGTGCGGCTGAAGTGGGGCTGTGGGCGACTGCTCTGTGCTGCTCTGCACTCTCCAAACAGTGGCACGACCCATGTGGCATCGGGTGATGGAAGAACCTCACCCACTGACAGGAGGTGTGAATGACACACACTCTCTGGGTTGGGAGGAAATAACTCCTGAAGTCACTCAGGCAGTTGTGATGGGACCCCAGGGGGTGGGCTCAGGTAACAACAACAAAAACATGTTGCTAAACTACCTTCCAAGGAGGCCAGACCCTGTTAATAGGAGGCCCCTGGGTGCAGCAAAGGGTCAGGGATGAGTCCGGGTCTACTCAACTCGGGAAAGTGCCAGAATCACATGGGAAGCCTCTACCAACACTCAGCGCCCACACCCCCACCCTGGACCATTTGGTTCCAAAACTTGTGGAGACAACTGGGCACCACGGGGTTTTAAGGGCCCACATGACTCCAGTTTGCTAACAGGAAGCTAGTTAGTGGAGCTAAACTGCTAACACGCGCACTAGCTGGTCAAGCCAGACCAGAGGGGAAAAGAGAAGTTGTAGGGTGCGTGATGGTGAGGGGGGGGCAACAGGAAGTCCTTTGGGGATGTGTGGGAGAAAAGGAACTGCAAAGAAAACACCTTTTTTTTTCAGTAAAGGAAATTTTTAAAATACAGAAAAGTGGCGAGAACAGTACGATGACTCTATTATCTGTTACCAGCCTCATCCGTTGCCAACACTGAGTCCTTCCCGTGGGGGGAAGGGGGGTTTAAGGTGTGGGCCGCAGGGAGGCGAAGTGCCCCGGGTCCCTGGGAACCTCCTGTAAAGCCCACACTGCTCACTGGTGACCCGGTGACATTGGATCCTTGGAGGGAACACAGAAGCCGGCGCCAAGCTCTCAGGGCAGGACAAGCTTTGACAGGAGAGCCAACAGCTGGGACACAAGGACTTTTGTATTAAAGGAGAAAAAAGTTATATTTTAAGAGAAATCCCCACCCATTTGGACCAGTCTCCTACATTCTCAGGTGTTGGGACAGGGCTTTGAGGCTTACCCCTAAAAGGATCAAAGAGGCGAGGGGGCTAGCCTGGGAACACCCAGGGGTGGCAGCTGGGCCGGGATGTCCCCAGGAAGTCAGGTCCTCTTGGCATCGGACAGAGCTTCCCTGTGCACCTGCCACATGCCAGACGCTGTGTTCTAGGTTGTGGGGACACTGACAACAGCTTACACTCTAGTGCTGGAGATGGACAGTAAAGAGGAAATGGAATACGGAGCGTGTCAGATGGCCTTAGGTGCTACACAGAAGAAAAGCAGGGAAGGAGACTGGGGTGGGTAGATAATAAGGCGCTCAGGACAGGCCTGTCTGCTGAGGTGACCAGACCAGAAGAGGGAGAAAGACACATGGGAGGAGCGTGACAGGCAGACGGGACAGCCAATGCAAAGGCCTGGGAGTGAGAGCTCCTCCCATTCTGTGTAGCTGGTCAGTGGGGCAGCTGGGGACAGAGGTAGCAGGTGAGGTCAGGGAGGCGGGTCCCTGAGGAACACCGGTGAGAACAGAGCTCGAGACCTTGAGGCTCTGTGTAGAGACCTTTGTTTTTTCCTGAGAGAGAAGGGGAGCGATTGGTGGGTTTTGAGCTAGAACAGCACTGTCCAGCCTTTGCCAGCTCATGGCAACACATAAACGAATTACTAACATTCGGCGGCACACCAAAAATACGTGATATTTTTTGCCGATCTGACAAAAAAAAGGTATAATTTTGATTCATTCACACCAGATGGCTGTTGTCGTGTTGGCTGTTGTCACTTTTTTAAATTTGACAATCTAAGGGAAAAGAGGTCAGTGCCCCTGACTAAATAGTCAGGTATTGCACATTTTACGGATTCTTGCAGCACGCCATTTGGAAATCGCTGAGCTAGAGGACTGCGAGATCTGGCTGAGGTTGCAACGGGACCCCCCCTTGTTGAGTGCAGGACAACTGCAGGAGGTGAGGACAGAGGCAGGAGAAAGCTGCTGCGGTCACCCCAGGTGACAGGGGATGGCAGCTCAGACCAGGGCGGTCATGCTGGGCATGGTGAGACGTGGTCAGTTCATGGCTATGTTAGGAAGGTAGAGCCAACAGGATATATTGGAGCCTGAGAGAGGAGAGAGGGGAGGAATGACACCAAGATGTTTGATCTCAGCCGTTAGCATGTGGGCTGGTGTTTCCTGGGCTGGAGATCCTGCTGGAGTGGGGGGCTTGGGTGGTTGAGAATTCCTTCTGAACAGATTAGATTTTAGTTGCCTGGGCAACACAACATGCAAATACCAAGTCCTCCACTGGACACAGGAGTCTGGAGGGCAGGGGAGAGGCCTGGCCTAGAGTCCTCCCAGGTGGTCATGAGATCACAGAGAGCGAGAGCGAGATCACAGATGGCTAAGTAGATCAAGGACTGACCTGGGGTTCTGCTGTCACAGGGAGGGGGCCAGGCCTGGGATTGCTCGGAGGGTCCTAGTGCTATTCCTCCTCTCCATTTGCCACTTCCAATTCTTCACATGTGCCCTGAGGATAAAGGTGAAGGCTGAGCCAGCCTTGTTAGTTGAAAAGGGCAGAAACTCTCAGGTTCACTTGAGCCATCGGGATTGTAGTAAAGCTACAGGCAGCGATTGGAAGGCAGGGTTTTGACCAGGCCTCACAGAGTGCAATTTAACCACCGGGAAATCGTTCGGGCCCCGGGCCCCAGGGACTGAGCTCATTCATGGCCCGCTCAGCACCGGGCCTGATATTCCTTCACCTCCTCCTCCTCTCCGCTCTCTTCCTCTCTGCCCCCTGAGGTTTTGGCTTACTCGTTTCCCCTGTGCCTCCACATTGTCTTTGCATTATCTGATCTTGTTAGGTCTTTCAGCTTTGATGCATTTTATGCCCTAACACTCTGTGATTCAAATTCAAACTGGCAGCCTTGATTGGTGATGATTAGTTTAGTTAATTGCACTCAGCCCTGCTGGGTGGAGCTTTTGCATCAGGGCTGTCTCATTGGCTGCTGGCTAGCCTAAATCCTTGCAGCCTTTGGGTCAGGTGACTTCTACTCCAATCAGGTATTGCAGTAGTTGTGGAGGTGCTATTGGAGACAGAATATAAGGTCCATGACAATGTGTGGTGTATTGATTAAGGTGGGCTCTGAATCATTCAGCCTGGGCTGAGGTTCAAACCCAGCCTCCACCATTTATTGAGACCTTGGACAGCTTATTCAACCTAACTGTACCTCCATCTCTCTCTCTCTAGGTGGAGAATAATAGTTAACTACAACTTAAGGTTGTGATGAGTATATAAGTTAATCAATGAAACACATAACACAGCATTTAATTAGGACTCAAAAATGTTCATTCTTATTGTCCTAATTCCATTTGGATAGTTCATCTCACTAAGTTAGGTGTTTTGTTTGTTTTTGTTGATTTCATAGAGGAAGGGAGAGGAAGGGAGAGGAAGGGAGAGATAGAAACATCAATGATGAGAGAGAATCATTGATCTGCTGCCTCCTGCACACCCCACACTGGGAATCGAGCCCACAACCTGGGCATGTGTCCTGACCGGGAATCGAACCATTACCTCCTGGTTCATAGATCGACACTCAACCACTGAGCCACGCCGGCCAGGCTAAGTTAGGTGCTTTTAAGACATATTCTTATTCAGTTCTTCACAAAATGCAGATGAAATAAGCTGTCTTTTCAGTCCCATCATCCAGATGTGAAAATGAAAATACAGAGGTTACTTTGCTTGCCCTAGAGCCCTCAGCGAGTAAGAGATGGAGTCAGGATTCAGACACAGGTTTGTCTGGCTCCAGCACCATTGTTCCGAATCACTACGCCCCTGACAGGGCATCTATGTGTAAATGCCCCGTTTGGACCCTTCCTCTGTGAGGCTGTGGACAGGAGCCCCCCAGGAGCTGACCCTGCTCCCCCCTGCTCTCCCTATGCTACGGGGGATAATGCCTCCTTCCCTAAATGCAATCTGCTGAAGCGGGACTTGTGCCTCACCAGCTCCGGCCTGCAAAGGCAGTTCCTCCCTTGTCCAATGCGGGCAACACCTGGATAAGTTAGCAGAGTACGGCGTATTCCTCCCATTTGACAGATGCAGAAACTGAGACTCGGCGAAAAGATAAAAAGCAGGATTTGAATCCAGACATGTCTGTCCCTTTCCCCTTCTCCATACTCCCCCATTTTATGGGGCAAAACTGAACCCCAGGGGATCTGGGAGCCCCTGTAAGTTCCCAAACAGAGTGAAGTAAAGGCCAGAAGAACCTGGGGTCAGGACAGAGAACCTCAGAGCTGGAAGGCACCTCATTTAAGGCCAGGAGTCGCTGGGCCTTACTCTGACCACTGCTTAGTAATGTAGCCAGTTCTGCAAAGTCTCCTACTCATGGCCCGAGGGTCATTCAGGGTTTAAGGAAACGAAGTGGCATGAAATCCTGGTGCCTGTTTGATTTCATGAAGTAGGCCTGTCTGACCCTGGGGCTCGGTGCAGGCTTCCCGGCGGAAGGAGCACAGGGAGGATAGGGCACCTGCAGATTCTTGGCTCACACTTGCCTTTTCTGACACACACTTGCCCATGCTCCAGGGTGGGTTACCAGTAACAGTCCCTGGGCTTCACAGGTGGGTGCCTTAGCACATTCGTGGAATCTGACTCACTGTGTGGCTTGGGGCAAGTCACTTAACCTCTCTGGGCTTCCGTTTCCACATGTATGATCCTCTTTCATGGAGTTACTGAAGATGGAGTAAAATATGTTCCCATAGTGCTTGTTGCAAATGCTCCTGTTGTTATTTTAGACATTAAAATCCCACAGCCCCATACAAAAAACTTCACACACTCGCTGTTGGCATGGGAATGTCTAAAATAATCACCTTTTAGGAACATACAAAATAATTAGAAGGAAAGATTATTTTGGTGACAGTGTGGAGGATACATTAGGAGGGAACGATTGGAAATAAGATATGTTCATTAAGAATATGTTTAGCTGTTGGTAGCAAAAAAATTCAACTGTGGCCAGATTTCTAATTGTTCTTTAATATCCACTCTCCTCTCCTTCCTTAATGACTAGTACCCCTACATTTCAGCTGGACCCATGGCAACCTGTAATGAAGATTACATATTCCCTCCTTCATCTTAAGTACGGCCATGTGAGTTCTTGCCAATGAAAAATATTTTGTGTGACTTCTAGAAAATGCCTTAAAAGGGAGGGTATAGATCTTATGCCTCTCTTTCTCCCTGCTGGCTGGAATTGAGATGTGATGACTGGATCTCAAGCAGCCATTTTGGACCAGGAGGTAAGTTAAAGATGGGTGCTGATTCTTTGACTCTCCTTCCTTCCAGAGGAATTGTCTATTTGAAAGCGTCTGTTTCCACTCCACTTGAATCTGGACTGACCTGTGACTTCTTGGACCAACAGAGTATAGTAAAAATAATGCTCTGCCGCCTAACCAGTTTGGCTCAGTGGATAGAGCGTTGGCCTGTGGACTGAAGGGTCCCAGGTTCGATTCTGGTCAAGGGCATGTACCTTGGTTGTGGGCACATCCCCAGTAGGGAGTGTGCGGGAGGCAGCTGATCGATGTTTCGCTCTCATCCATGTTTCTAACTCTCTCTCCCTCTCTCTCTCCTTCCTCTCTGTAAAAAATCAATAAAATATATTTTTTAAAAAAATAGTGCTCTGCCAATTCTGGGCCTAGCCCTTAAGAGGACAGGCAGCGTCTGCCAAGGCCCCTTGGATCCGTGCGCTGCCACGGAAAAGGTCAAGCCACTCTGTGGAAGAGACCACCTGGAGAGGTTCCACGACTGCATGGCAAAGGAGAGGAACCTATTCGAGCTCAGCATCGCAGTCATCCCCACAAAGCACCGGGCATTCCAGGATAGCCATCTCGAGCCTCAGGTGAGCCCAGCCTGAATATAACCAAGTGACTAATGACTGTAGATCAATCAAAAGATCCCCAGCTCAGACCTGTCCAAATTTCTGATCCACAAAAGTGTAGAAAATAATAAAATGGTTGTTGTTTGGGGGTAGTTTGTTATGTAGCAATAAATGACCAGAACCGACCATGAAGTAGAAGCTGTTTGCTGAGGATGTTGCAACAATGACACCAGCTCTGATCTGGCACGCCCAGATTTTTTGTTACATGAGAAAAGTAGACCCTATTTGTTTGAGCCTTGCTGGTCCCTGGGGCTACAGCTCAGGGCCTCAGTTTCCCACAACTGTTAAATGGAGCATTAGCTTCTGCCCTATTACCTCCCAAAGTGCCCGAGAGGACAGAATAAGAATCAAGGCCTTTCTTATCCTCATATATAAAAAGCCAGGGGCCGTCACTACAGAAACAACCAGATGGACAACCGAACACAGGCTGTGTGGGACAACAAGGCCAGCGGGGGATGGGAGGGGGTGATAGGGGGCAGTTGGGGGCGACCAGCCTGGCAGAGGGGGCAGTTGGGGTGACCAGGCCAGCAGGGGGGGCAGTTAGGGGCAATCAGGCAGGCAGGCAGG